TCAAACTGCATTCCGCAACACTCCCCATTGTGGAACCAACAAGACCAAGGCTGCCTCGTGGCAAATGCTTGTGGCAAGCCTCGGTCTGGCCAAGTATCGTCTCTTTGTTATACGGCCGCTACATACCTGACACGACATGATTTCTTGACGCAAGCATTCACGCAAGCATTCAAGAGTGACTACCTACTCACAGTTCCTCATCATCTGTCTCGTCATCCTCGGCGTAGGCTGCTGCGCGCGAGGACTTTGCTGTTGCACCCTTGCCTCGCGTTGCTACTGTCCTTTTGCTGAATGGCAGGACTCGGGGTGGGGGAACGCCCGTTGTCTCTGTGCCTTCCGCAGTGCCACCACCATGTGCAACCTCAGAACCATCCCCGACTGTTTCGGATGATCTCGCTCTTTGACGCGGGGCGGAACCAGTCTCTTCGTCAGTTTCATCGTCAGACTGCTCTGGTGTTACAGCATCTTCTACTTCTTCTTCGTCACGTTCCTCGTCTTTTGCTTGGTCCATCTCCATCTGGTCGCTGTCCGACTCAGGCTCTAGTCCAGAAACTGGCTGCGCTGATTGCGACGAAGCTTTGCGCTTGCTTGCTCGTGATGCGCCCGCCTTGCACGCTCTGGTGTTGCCTCTTGTCGCTTCAACAGCGGTCGCTGCACAGCAAAAGTCAGTCTTGCGAATGTACCTTGGACAGCAGACTGGCATTACCTGTCGTCTGGGCAACCTTTGCACCAGCCAATAGGCGGCTTTGGTCTCGGATCTTCCTCTTTTTGTCATTCAGCAGCTCCATAAACTGCTGCAGCATAACCGATTCCGCCTCATTCTTGGTTTTGATAAAGTCATCGAGTTGCGCGGTCAGCTTGGCAACTGTGTTTTGCTCGCTACCTACGCGGGCCTCCAGTTCGGCCATGTGTTGCAGTGTTTGTGCGTGTGCCATGGCGGAAGTGCGGGCCCAGTCGAACGGATTAAACTCAAACTCATCGTCCTGGGGTAAGACGATCTCGCCCAAGGTGACCTACACGGGTTAGGCCAGGCTTTTTCTTGTTCGGTCGTTCAGCTAGCCCACCTTTATGGTTTGAACGTCCTGGCGGAAGGAGATGGCTAGTGTTCCACTCTTCAAAGTATACACCATGCGGACGCCATGCAAGAGATGGGCATGTTGGCTTGCAGGCTGTTTCATCAAGAGGAAATGAGACAAAATTGCCGCCCACTCGTCATCGGTCCCTTTGAATTTGTGCTGCAATTCTGCAAGATTGCGGTACCGAACTGGGACCGGGGTTAGTAAATGAACTCTGTACCTGCTTTGCAACAAGGGCTTACTCGAAGCAACATATGGGCTTTCGCCCTCGCAGCCTACGAGCCTGACATCGAGCGGATGGCTGCCCTCGTGCAAGACCTCGACGACAACCGCGTCGCCGCGGCCGTCGGCAGGCTCGACGGGGACGATGCAGCAACGAGTGGGCATTGCTGGGGCGTGATGCGTGAGGCGTGATGTGCAGAAGCTAGGCGGTGCTGCGGGAAGTTAGCCGGTAGGGCAGGTTAGGACGCTTGCAGGGCCCGGACGAGGATCTGAGCGGGTCCAGGGCTGGAGTTGTCGCAAGCGCAGCGGGTCGATGAGTGCTCCTGAACAGCACCAGGGACTGGCACCGATTGTTTAGCAATACGGCGCGCGGGGATGTTGAAACGGTAGTTAATTGAGCATGTGAGACGGGCAGGGCCCCGAGGTTTATGTTGCAGGCTTTGAGGAGGCAGAGACAGGCAGCATTGCGCCGGGCGTGTGTGGTTAGGGTTTAGTGTTTGTTGATGTCCAGGCATCCGTCCTGCACACGAGGCACGCCACCAGGAGGGAGGAGTCAGGGTCTGACGAGGGCCAAGGGCAGAGGGTGTGTGGGCAGCAGGCGGAGGTGTAGTAAGTAGGCGTGTAATGTAATGTAAAGTAAAAGTATATGTACGGATGCAGGCCCTCGTTGCACTGGCTTTATTCATCCATGCATGCATACGTACACAAGCAACGTCCTCTCTCTCTCTCTCTTTGTACACAAACAACAAGGACATGAACCAAGCAAGCCCACCCCTCCTGCAGCAGCAACAGCAACAGCATTTGTTCGCCAGCAATCCGCATGCCCGTCCGTTGTTTTTTGCGCAGCCCGGCCAATTACCAGTGCCCTTCTCTTGCGACTAGGCCGTCGTCGCTGGCGTCGACACACCCACACAGGCGTGGCTAGTGGGCGGACCTCGGGGCGCGCCTTCCTCGAGCTGCCCACCGCCTGGCTCGCTTGTGCTGCAGGAACCTGACAGCCCAGTGACCACCTTCGTGGCCCACCCCCAACCTCCTGCATTGCTCGCGAAGATCCTGCATCCAAACACGACAACACGCAATTGCGGTCATTCGCGCTGCCCCCCGAGCATGGCGGCCAACAACCGCTCCTTCGCGGCGCGCATCGCCTCCATCTCGTCCAACAGCTCCAGGATGGAGTCGTGGGACGACGGCGACTTCGACGACCGCTCCGACGGCCTGCTCTTCAAGAACTCGACGGTCCACTCGCTCTCGTCACGCATGAGCGTGCGTTCCGAATCAGAGTCCCAGGACGACTGGCAGTTTCTCATCTCGCCCGACGACCAGGCTACAAACGCCTCTGCCATCACCTCGGCCGCAAAGCAGGCCGGCATCCCCATACCCGCAAACGTGCCCTCGTCCGCCCTGCTAGGGGGGTCCATCAAGAGGCTGGGGAAAAAGAAGTCGACCAAGAAAATGGAAGTCGACGATGACTGGGGCAACGACCTCGAGCTTCCCGCAAACGCCTCCGAAGGACTCAAGCTTAAGCCGCTCGCCGCTCGCACGCCTGCTGACGATGCCGATGATGACCTCGACTGGGGCGAGGGTTCATTGGGCATCCGCTTTGCAGGCACGCGACAGGCCACTCGCGGTGCCCGCAGCTCCTCCGTCTCCGCCATGAGCCCTAGCCTGGGCAGCTGCATGACCATGGAGAGCGAAGAAGACGACCTCGGCGGCCTCGTCTTGCCCACCGAGCCCATGGACTTCAGCGCCCGTCTGGAGAAGCTCAAGAAGACCGACCACCTACACCAGCAGGACTCAACCCAGCGTCCGCCTGAACTATCTCTCCTTCCACCGCTTCAGCTCGGCCCAACATCTGCCCCAGCACCACCTACGTCGTTCCCTACACAAGAACCACCCCTATCACCCACCACTGGTCCCGCCTTCTTTTCACCCTTAGGGAGTCCCAAGGCTCCTTCGCCAAAGGCAAAGCCGGCTGCTGAGCCCGAGGAGGATTTCGAGGAGGGTTTCGAGTTCGGCACTGGTGAAATTCTGGACAGCAAGAAGCTCACCTTGAACAAGAATATTGTCGTAAAGAAGACCACCAACAAGGCTAATGCGCCACACGCCGCTCGTCCTGCGACCACGCTCACCTTTACCGACCGACCCACCATATCGCGAATTCCAAGGCCACTACCGTCCATCGCCAGCCGCACCCGGCTAACTCCCGTCTACGAGACTGGCGCGTCAGCCTCGAACCAATCGTCAAGGACCATGCCTACAACTACTAGCGCACAGCTCCTCCGCGCGAAGCGATCTGCTCCTGTCCTCCGCAACATAAACTCTACTCAGCCACCTCGCATGCCCTTCATCCCTGCTGGTGGTCCCTCCTCTCAGTCACACCACGTCATGGCCAAGAGTACCTCACAAACTCATCTTCGTCGTGACTCTGACTCTCGTCGTCCCCTCTCTCCTTCTATGCGGTCTTACTCTCGCTCGTCTGGACATCAGAATGAGACACCGAGCCGTGCAGGGGTCCGACGCGATTTGGCACCCTCTGCACTTGCACGCAACCCACCCCCCAGAAAACTAACCCAGCCCCAGCGCAAGCGGAACTTTGGGGATGGGCACGAACTTGACATGTTTGATGATCTGCCCACCTCAGCTACAAAAGAGAAGCAATTCGAAAAGGTCCCACGTAATGTTGGCAGTAACAAATCCTTACGCACTCAACCCAGTAATTCCCGCCTGCCCATGCCCGACCGCATGGCGACGCCCCAGCCTCAGACTCCACGAAGTCCACCTAAAGTGGACAACACTCCCCGATTTGCTCGAGATACTGCTGCGAGTAGGAACGCACGAGAGCAACGATTGGCAGGCACGAGGTCAAGAGCGGATGGCTCCGTTTCCCAAAGGCCTGTGAGCTGGGCTGCTCAAGTTGCCTCTCGCAGCCCTCATTCTAGCCCAAATCACAAGAAGAAAGGCTCAGGGCAAAAACCTCAGTTAATCCGCCAGATGACCCAGCCTCAGTCCTATAGTATGGCACTCCACCACTACTACCCAGCTCCCACTAACCACTATGTAGACGAAAAAGGCATGACTTATAACCCTACCCTACAGCGATGGGAAGGTAACGAGGAGGAGCTCGTTTCCTTCTCCCACCCTAATACTTCCACTACTACTCTTGCCTTGACCACTGCCAGTACACCAACTTTTGCACCCCCCTCTAACCAGACGGGCCGCCCACACGATCGTTCACAGTCCATCTCGCATATAGCGCTCTCGTCCATTCATGCTTCTCAAGCACACAGGAGCTTCTCGGCACGGGCAGCCAAACTTGCCCAGCCGCCAGCGCCAGCACCAGCACCATCCCCGCCTCGACCTGCATTGATATCACAAATCTCAGTGCCTCGAAGCGTGCAATATGAAGGCCGCATGGTGTTTGATCCTGTCAAAATGACCTGGCTCAAAGCCCCTCGCCCGATGAACGACGTTCGCTCACCTTCCGAAGTCGACGAGGACGAGGACCCCTTTGCTGGCCTTGAAGACTTGAAAGATAACGAGAGCGTTGCTGGCGGCAACGGTATGAGTGGCACCGGCACACCAAACCCCGAAGATCCCGCCTTTGTAGGCGAAGAGTTCGACGTCGGTCCCAGTTTCATCCGCCGCCAACGTGACGAAGAGGCCATCTGGCGCCGTCGAGTCGAAGGCTGGGTCGGCGGCCTTCGCGACAACGGTGAACATCCCGGCGGATGGCGATGGGCGATCCGCGACTTCGCAGCCAGCGCGCCTGCTGGTAATCCCGCGTTTTAACGACCTTGTATATGTGTATCCGCATTTACGATTTTATGATTGCATCCAAGATTTCCCTCTTTGGGCGCATACTGTGGGACTTTGTTTCACGAAAAGTAATGACTTGCTTGGAATGTCTATTTGAGATATCCCCCCCCGGAGTGTTATGAAGGGTGTGCTTCAATGCCGCCTCACTCTTACGACGCATTTTACGACTTAATGACGGCATGACCGTACTACAGATGGGGCTTCATTGCTCGGACACATGACTCACGAAATTTCCTTTGTATAATGATCTGCGGCGTCTGGGTCATCTTCATTCAGTATATAAGAAAACATATTAATACTACATTGCTGCTACAAGTTGAGCATGATGATGGGCTGATGGTGTTGGGGGAGCTAGCCAGTCTCGCCCCTATTGTGTGCAGCTTCGTGGCGCCATTGTCGCCAAGTCTATGCCGTCATCCTATTGGCGCCCTTGGAGTCATATTTGCGGGGCCGACAGCTCACATGCCCAACTCGACCCGCCGACCTGTCAGGCGTCACCGCTCCTCCCTATATCTTATATCATGTCGCTCTCCAACGACCCAGGCCATTACTTCCAAACGACGTACCGATTCTGCCCTTGAGCCTCTTGATCCCGGCTGATATCATGTAGCTCGGCACTTGAGGAGACGGCTCGCAAGGCTGTCAAGTCGAAGAACACAAAGGGCAACCCCACCAAGCTTCCATCCAAGATCCTCGCCATCATCGCGGATCCTCAGGATGAGCACCATGTCTACGTAGCTGAAGCTGCAGGCAGCGTGAAGCATATCAATATTGAAGTCGGTCAGACATCTGCCTCCACGCTCCAGCTTCACTGCTGGACGTGATGATAGCGACCAGTCGCTAACTGCTCTTCCGACAGACTAGCAAAGTCATTGCTACTTTTTCCGGCCCCACGGCTCCCCTGACCTCTATCGCCGTGTCACCAAAGTCCGGTACGCTGTTCGCGGGCTGCTGGGACAAGTCGATATGGTCGTGGTCACTCTCATCTCGGAAAGCGTCCACCCGCTTTCAAGGCCACAGTGATTTCGTCAAGGCTATCATATCCTTTACTTTGAATGGCAAGGAAGTTCTCGTTTCAGCCTCTCAGGATGCGAGCATCATAGTGTGGGACGTAGCTGCAGGAAAGAAACTACATACACTTAAAGGACACACACGGGGTATCCTCGCTCTTGCGCTGGACCCGGTTGATTACGAACCTGGGAAAGACGCCATCACGGTCTTCAGTGCCGGAAGCGATCGAGAAATCAGACGTTGGCAGATTGCATCTTCCTCGGCTCATGAAATCCAGCCGTCACCAATCATTTCCCACGAGACCAGTATCGACGCTCTGTGTTTCGACACTGACGGTGATCTATGGACCGCATCAGCAGACAAGACGGCAAAATGTCTATCTAGAGGCCGAGATTGGGAAGAAGATTCCAAGTTTGAACACCCGGACTTTGTTCGCGACGTCGTGATTGACGAAGCTGGCGGGTGGATCGTGACTGCATGCAGAGACGAAGAAGTCCGTGTATGGGAGAGAGCTAGCGGCAGGTTGCACCATACCTTTAGTGGGCACTTTGAAGAGGTCACAGGACTTCTCTTGATGGGACAGCGTCTAATCAGCGTCAGTATCGACGCCACAGTGAGACAGTGGAGCCTGAAGCCACAAGACCTTGCCAAGTCCATTGAGGAAGCTGAGAAGGAACGACTTGGAGAAGAGACAGCAAAGGAGCCAGAGCGAAAAGAGAGTCTATTGACCGTGGAAGAAGAAGCGGAGCTCGCTGAGCTCTTGGAAGATAGCGATTAGACATCGACTAGCGAGCCGACGACCGGACATGCGTTACCAAGGTTTGCTGGGAAATTTCGATCCCATTTGTCCGGTCGGGCCCCTCTAGGTAAATTTCGAAGCGAGATGACTGGCTGAGACAGTCATGTTCCCTCCCACACTCCGGCGGTGACTAGCTCAAGGATGAACTTGTCTAGCTTTGCAACTGTAGCTTAGGCTACACACCTTCCATCTTTACGAGGGATTCTCGGTCTACGAGAAGCATCAAGGTCGCCCTGCTCACAGCTCAATTTTAGCGCCAATGTTCGTCCTGGGTCTGGAGACAGTTTATCTGTCCTCACGCTGGTCGTCTGATGCCGGATGTGGAACGGAATCATGGTTGACTTCCCTGTCTCTATGAAGAGAAGCTTGGTATTCCCCATTTTCCTATTTTGATTTGACTAGTGGTGCTGTTTACTGGCGTCTAGCACTCGTGCCATGGAGTTCGCCAGCACGGGCCTATAGCTCACCTTTCATCGACACGTGATCAACCAACAAGCGGCACGTTCACCTTCACAGCAAAATATTCCTGGCCAGTTCACCCCTCATCCCCCCCAAACTCACCTCACTCAGCCGTGCACACCATCTTTCTTTGTTCTCGCAACCATTTTCCCTTACTATTTCCTCAACACATTACCATCATCTGCCGAGCTGGCCTTTTGGCTTTCGTTGAACGGAGTTTGGATTTTTCCAGGCATGCAACAAACCCCTTCGAGTCTTTCTTCCGACTATCTACACGAACGGACGTTCCCGATCGATACCCCGCGATGAGCCAGTCTCAGCTTTTTTTTTCTCGAGCCATGTCGTCACCAAGGGTGATGCGTGCCTACCGTAGACAAGGGAGAAGATACTTCACGCCAGGGAGCGTTTACCGCAGCCCCGCTACCAGTGTCGCCTTTTCAGGTTGTCGCGTGTAGAAGATACCAGCAGATATGGAGCGTCATGCTCTGACAGATCATTTGGTCCATGGTTTAGTGTCGTGCGAGGATGCTTCTCCCTTGTGCCGGTGAAACCACATGTAGGAACTCATGGCTTTCGCCACGCAGGTGAAAGCACTGTTCTTGAGCTTTGTTCTTTTCCGTCGCTTAGTATTCTTGCTAAGTACGCGATGGTGGAAAACAAAGGATATGAGTTTCATATTCATTCTCAACGTGTTGACTATGACAGGCCTTCGGTCCTTGGCGTTTCGTTCAGCGTACAACAAGAATCGGCTGGCACGGTCAAGTCTGGTTTTTCGAGAACGGCATAAGACGTCGAATACAAGCGGGCGATCTTTCTCGGAGTGTTCAGTTTCTGGTCGGCAAACACTCAGAGGGTCTTTGTCATACAGCGTCCGCATCGAGACCCCGACTATCTACTACGCAACAAGGTCTGACCATGTTACGCCGTAGAGGCGCGAAACAAAAAGGTGCAGCTCGTCAGGTCAGGTGAATTTCCCCCGCCACCAGTGTTGTTTTTTCAGACAGCGAGTGTGGAAGATGCCTGCGATATTGAGTCTTTTTCGGAAGACTCTGATAGACCACATGGTCCATGGCTTTGTTTGGCTGTCGTGACTCACCTCTTCGACATCGACCAGGTCCAACGAGACATGCCCAACCTGAGGCAGCCCACTAACTTGACCTGTGGGAAACCCAGGCCAGATGACGTGAGAGCACTTCTGCGAAACCACAGAGATTTTCGGAACCTTTGGTCCATTTCGGCTTACTCGAGCTTCACTTTTCGTGCTGCCGCTTTGAAGACCCAGCCCACCTCCAGCACGACAACAAAGAAACAGTCCCCTATTCAGGGGTTGAGACTGGTTTGCTCCTTGTTTTCCATTCCGGCACGAGCTTCGGCCCCTCGCACTCGCTCGCCCTCACTGGTACCAGGTAGAGTATGCTTTTCTCACCCCACGATGGTTCGCGTGAGGAACCTGTCTGTCAGGGAAAGGCTTGCCTTATACCCGCCATCAGTATCATCCTTCTAAGGAAGATGAGCATGGAAGATGCCTGCGATATTGAGCTTCTCCGGAAGTCTCTGGAAGACCTTAGGGTCCACGGCACTTTGCTTACAGGCACCCTCGTACGCACATCCCCCCGATGTCTTGGCTATTGTGCAGACCCCTCCTCCCCCACCCAGCCTTTGTGCCCTGGTGCCACACTTTCGGGTACGCCCGCTTCTTCAGGTACGCCTGCTTCCTACGGGTACGCCCGCTCATTCAGGTCCGCCTATGTTCCGGATAAGTCCGCTTGTTCAGGTCCGCCTACGCCACATAGGTTCGTCCGTGTGTGCTATCGAGTCGATGTACGTAACTACGTCGGCGTCTTGTCCTGCAGGGAACGTTCGCGTATCCCCGCCGCCAGTGGATCTCTTTTTAGGGATCCGTGCGCGGAAGAGGCCTACAGATGTGGAGCTCGGCGACTGCTTTCGAGTGGCTGCTGCGTCTCTGATAGACCGCATGGTCCTTGGCTGAAATGCAGACAATCCCCCAAATCACGAAGCCTCGTCCGTGCTGTTTTAAGCACGGCCGATGCTTCGTGAGCTATTTGGAGACACACCGTTCACATTGTTCACACTTGTAAAAGTGTCAACACCCTGACCGGTGTTTTTTGAGTTGGCCCTTGGGCTTTTTTGAGAGACCTTTTTTCGAGAAAATACTTTTACCGCCCTTTTGGGTACTACGGCCCTTTTGGGTATCCTGAGAAAAAACTTTGGCTCTTCGGAGCTTTCTTAGACTTGTCCTTTTTTTGGGTATCTATACCCTTTGAGTCGACTCGTCGACAATGGCTATCATGGCCATTGGTAAGGTATGCGGGGCAGCTGCTCACTTAAATGCTTGCCTGGAGAAGAAATGAGTCGCGACGTTCTTGAACGTTGGCGTGGCTGCAAGAGGTGGACGGGCGGTAGAAGTCGGACCCTTGCGCCTCCTCGTGGTGCCGCCTGGATAGTCGACCACTCTTCTTCATGCACGAGAGAGTGGAAGATGAACTAGATGCTTGGGACGCAGCGTAAGTTACTTGGATTGTTGATTGTTGAGATCATCTCACAGTATCCTTACTCTGTTAATGTTGAGGAGTGAGGTGACTGCTCATGGGTATGAAGACAGGGTGACTCGAGGGTTGGTGGAAAGACCAGGCTGGATTAGTGGTAAGAGCAGGATAGCTGTGATACGGCATATGTCTTTTCTACTCCTGCTAGACCGTTGTAGTAACGCAAATATGATCAATATACCTCACTCGTAAATGACCTACCCAAAAGAACATCTTCCAATGGCGTGAATAATCCCTATCGATAGTGAGAGACCATTGAACCTAACTCATACCCAATTGTACTTTCTCAACTGCTTGTCAGAGAGAGAGGGACAGTTGCTCCGATTTTTCATCATTAACATTTTGCATCCCAATGCAAAAGGCGTAACTATCTAGTATAGTCGTATAACTTGGGCTACATGCCCAGGCTCCACCTCCCCGATCTGATGCAGGAAAAAAGATCCTTCCAGAACGATTCACTACATCGCCATTATGTCAGGACTGAAACTGGAGAATAAAGTGCAAAAACTTCACTGCATATATAAAGAAGTGTTGAAATTAGCGTAAGTAGAATGGATGGATTGAGCATTGATTGTGCCTACACCATTCCCCAATTACCGAAGCATAAGAGCACACAACCAACTGCCATGCCGCGATTTCAAGTCCTAAAGCAAAAAGAAAAAGAAACATAATCAACTCCACTACCACTTGCATCAAGACGCCTGGAACCAAGCGTCTTGCAGCACGGTGTTTACCGATGCCCTGACGGACGGCTCCAATCGTATCATGCTACTGACTAGCACCCCGACACGTATAATATCTTCCCTACTCACATCTTGTTTCTTCTCTTCGTCAAAATACACTTCCTCGAACCCACTCTGAAGCGACCGATGCTCATAATCGCGCAGTTGTTTTGAATTCATAGCATGCCATTGCTTTTGCCAACGGTCCGGTATAGTATCGCCACTCATCTCGAGCATTTGACTCACAAGAATCTGAAGGGTGATTAGGAAGGTGTTGAAAAGGGGGGGGGGGGGGGAGGGGTTAGCCGGTGATGAGCTCAAATAACGAAGACCAAGATGCGTAAGCGTTTCCATTGGGAGTTTGATTTGAATATTTTTTCATCTCGAGGACATGGAATTACGACACATCCCATACTTCAGAGGTCAACGCGATGATCCACGTTGTCGTTGAAGATAATCTCAGGAGCGCGATAGTAGAGTGGGGTATGAAAGGCTCCGGGACTATCGTTATTGAAGAAAGATTGGCCAAAATGGACAATTTTGATGGTGTCAAAGGAAGATTTGATATTGATTGGGTAGGAAGCGGGTCTGACTAGGTAGGCAGGTAGGTTGGGTTCTAGTGGTTTGCGATCGGTTCTTTGAACACGTCCCGTTTCGGGTTGGCCTAGTTTCTGGAGGAGATGTTCCTCATGTAAATCATGTATCGAAGGTATCGTGAAAGCTAGGTTGCGGGTGTGTAGGTCTGGACATGGTAAGAGGGTAAAGGTTAATGGGGAGGGTGGGATGGCGATATTCCGCGTACCTGCATGTGCGATGTTATGCTTGTGGAGAAAGGACAAACCAGTCAATGTCTGTTTTGCAATCACCTTTGCGAGCATTCCGGAAAGTCTTGCAGGGCCTGAACTTTTGTCAAGAAAATCAGCGACACAAGGCAATCATGAGTCCCGTTTGGACCATGAATCTGGAAGTAATCTTGCATCGTCATGAGGCATTGATAGCCAGGCTGATTCGGACGGGCAGCCGCCATAGCACCCAAGACAGCCAACTCTCGACTATGCTGGGTTGTCTTGGATACGCATACTTTGATGGCGACAAAAGCTCTATTCCTAGCAGAACCATCAGTCTGGAATTGTGTTAATAATGTATGGCAGAAAGTAAGACCTGGTATCATGTGCAGCCCACACAGTCGAGTATCCGCTCCACCCCAGTTTGTGCAGAATCTTGTACCTGCCGTTTTTCAAGTAGTCCCCCAGATGGACAGGATGGTAGCCACCCCATTGGTAGCGATGCAAAGGTTCAGCGTCGATGTCACAGCTGTGTGTGGACCAGTATGTCGGCAAATTATTTATACTGAGAGGGTCGAATTGGCGCGGAGGAAAATGAACGTAGAGGCATGGGTGGTCTCCATGATGGTATAGGCGCCAGCGCTCTTCGTGATGGTATGCTGCGAGAGTGAGAGCTTATTTTGGAGAGAGTCATGCTTTTGCACACCGCGCAGGTTGGGCTACTAGAGACGTATAGATACTTAGGGTGGATGGTGAGGGGAAGAGATGCCAAGGAAATTAGTTCTGCTCCTCTAGTGAATGTTGAGGATGGATAGGCGTAGATGGTGGGATATTGCTATGTTCTAATCGAGCGACATGTGCATTGGGAACAACAGCAGGTTACCTGTAGTGTTGGCTAAGACAACAGCGAACTTGTGGTTTGATATTCTAGACGGGTCCTAGTCTTTAGGCAGTGAAACAATAGGAAAATATAAGTACAAGAGAGCAATGCGCTGCTCAGTTGCGATTCTTCAGCATTTCCGTGATTCTATGTGGGACGTTCCATTAACCTACAAGAGAGGGATTGATAGCCCTGCTCATTACTCATTCTTAAACGTTCCACCGCTGCGCCCATAGTCCTTCAGCAAAATCCTTCAATCGATCACTCCGTCTCTGCATCCTGTCACTCCCCAACTGTTTATTAAATTCACGGACGTCATCGAAAACGTCCTCAAGTCTGCATGTATCCCCACCATCCCGATCAAACGCGTAACGAAGACGCCGCTCCAACGCTTCAGTATACAGAGGATAAAATCTGCAGTCATTCCAACAAAGTATCTGAAGAAAAACATTGACTCTGCGCCTGTAAAGTACGAATTCTAATCTCAGTTCCCTGTTACCTATGGACATGCGGCGCCCCGAACTCCTAAGGATATTCCGGATACGCTGCTCAGCGTACTCCCAAAACGACAGTGTGCCGCTTCCCAGCCTCTTTCGTACGATATTCTCCTCAGCAAATAGCATGGTCATGAGTCGTCTCCAGTCGAGCGTAACGTGCGCGTTGTACTCCTTGCATTCGCCATCCACAGCATGGAAATCGGCATCATCAAATCGCGTTTCGGCGCTGTTGATAAACGTGTACCGCGCATCTCGAGTATCGAACCATATAACTTGGTCTTGCTGCGTCTCGCGCTTTATGCCGGTTCGCCACACGTCCACGTCAGCGTAGTTGATTACGCGGAGTACTTCTTCTTGCCATTGTGAATACAACATATCTGGGTAGTCGTACTCACAGTCATGGGCCGAGCGCAACACCAAGGTGAGTAAAGGGGATTTCCATGTGCTGTCTGCGGCCTGTAGGTACGGGGTCGCGATGATATTGGGTTCCGTGTACTCGGAGACGGACTCTGCCTCTGTCCATTCGATATGGAGAAGAGGGATGAAGGTAGTATAAAATATGCGCTCTGCTTCATACCGTATTCCACGACCGATTTGACGACAGGGGACCCAGAGGGTGAAGGGGTCGTTGATGTGTCGTAGGATTTCAGCCCAGATTTCGAGGGGGGAGGGCGGACGCCATTGTGGTTTTTGCCGTGTGTTTCAAATGAGAACTAGAAAGAAAAATACCTTCAACAAATACTGTGTGGACTCAAACTAGGTGGTGAGTCGTGTAGTAAAAGCAAAGTTTATACAATGGGGCTTCGTGTAGTGTGCGATGGCCCGAGGCAATTACCACGCCGAAGCCAAAAGTTGCTGGGTGCACCCTTGCGATGTGTCAAAAGTGTGCAATTGCACAATGTGAGCTGACTGATTGCCAGGGTATACACTCTACTTCATTCTCTGACCTGAGAAAATCATTGCAATAGAACACATACCCGTTAGCATAGAGACTCCATGCAGCATACCAGTACGTGGACGCCGGAGACACGTAGTAGATCACGTGCTTTCGCGTTTAGCGCGTAACGCTAAAGTAGCTGCTTATCTGCCCCCACATCTTGTCTCCACTTTCCCTTCATACAGGTCTTACACAAACCGATCATAGTTCAATTGGAACAGATTCATCTCGATATCTTTGTTATCTCTGCCATTGACTCGTACAACCCACATCTCAAAATCTGGAGAATTTGAAAATCACAATGACTGGCAGCACTCCATCCAAGTCATTCCGCTTCCGTGATCTCCCTAGTGAAGTAAGATCATATGTTGGTGAGCTTACAGCATATGCTGATGTAGCACCAACGTCTTCCAGATACGCAATAAGATCTACCGCATCATCTTGTGCGAGTTCGATCACTCGCCCAGCCAATTCGATGATGACTTCATGGAAGACGTACTACAATTGCCGCGCGTCGAACATCGTATCGAGACATCCATACTTCGAACATCGAAGGAAATATACCGCGAGGCTTACGATATCATGGTGAAGACTAACCGCTTTGTCAAAGTGACATCGGTGGACGGTTTGCCTGTTATAGGCGCTCTCAGCGGACAGCAGACTCCAGTGGTCACCCAGGAAAAGTTTCTCGTCGACCAGTTCAAAGGGTATGTGCTCAGTGTGCACTTTGGCCTGAAGAAGTAGAGAGAAAACAGGTCTTCGAGAAATTCGGATTGGTATGAGCCTCTGACTGCCATGATGTTACATCGGCATCTGGACAAACTTTGCCAAGGTATCAAAGATGGAGATGCGCACTCGCCAGGCTTCAGTGAGTCTCTCAAGATCTCAATCAGGATGGCACCTGTCCTGGACAATATACGAAGTAACAACATAATGCCCTCCTTTGATGGTTTCTTCTCGGAGAAGATGCAGAAAACCTTGTTCGCACCCCTAAGGGCCAATCTCCATGGTTACAAAGGGGTTGAAGTCAAGGGGCATGTCGATAGCAGCGTCGCAACAGCTCTGCGTCAAGACATTGCAAAAAATCCATACTCTGATCCTGCAGCGATCCTAGCCCAGTACATGGCCGCAAAAGAGGAAGGAACTCGTCTATTCCACAAGGGTCAACATGAACTTGGATGTTTGAAATGGCAAGACGCCACAGTCGAGATCGACATGTTGATCGTCTCAAGCTCTTGGCCTGACCTGGTTCGTCAAGGAAAGGAGGCGTTCGTTTCGCAGTTTGCCCAGGTCTATTTCATTATGCGTCTCAACATCATCCACGCCCAGCTTTCCAATTGGTCGGAGAATTCCTTTGTCGCCGGGGTACCGGCTGATGACTCGCTGAACTGTGCCTTCAAGTCGCTTAAGCAGGACTACTGGATGAAGGGATATAAGCACACCGTGTCTGCCACACACAGGGCAAAACTGCTGTTTCGGTATGCAACCTTTCTGAGGTTGGAAGCGGACCCTAGGAAGAAAGAACTGGCCCTGAAATCCATCAACCTGGCTGTGCAGAAGCAACCTGGAGATCCAGGTATTTTGAGAGAGAAGGACAAGATCCTTGAGTGGATGAGGCAATAGTGATGTAATTTGAGATGATTAGAAATGAGATCGGTATAGCAGTGTCAACTTAGCTCGCGTTCCTGATGGCAGCGGTGTACTTTAAAGCATTAAAGTTGATAAAGTCATACTATCACACAGCTGATGATGTTTGTTCTAGTGAAGACATGTAGAAAGGAGAGCACGTCAATCGTTAGTGTATATAACTAGTTTGTTAGAGCCGTACTAACATTCAGTCAGCGCCAAGACCACTAGTACTAGTCTGCGCTTTCCCTTCCTGGCAGGCAACATGTTACACGGTTCGGGACGAACTGCCTGACAATCTTCTCCAAGACTCCTACTCAATTGTATTCAATCGCTTACTCTTTAATGTACAAACAATTGCATCATGGCTGAAGATACCCCGCCTTTCCGCTTCATGGATTTGCCCCGTGAGATACGGGATGAAGTATACAGTCATCTGCTGTGCGCGTACGAAGCCCCCCTACCTATGACAAGTCGGGATATGCTAGTCCAAGAGACGAGCCTACTCTCGCATTTGCTGACCACTCCATTGACACGGTTATCCTGCGCATCAACAGCCAGATTCATCGTGAGGCCTAGTATGATGTCATGGTGAAATCAAACCGATTCATTCGACTTAATTGCACGATGTATATGCGGTGGTTCCCGGATATTGGCAGGATGGACACACATGGGAGTGCTCCGACGTCCTCCGAGCGAAGCTGCTGTATCGCAGAGCCATATGTGTTAGAATGTGTGGAATGATTGATGAGGCTGAGGATGCTTGTAAATTTCTCGGGAAGGCCTTAGAGCTGGTACCTGACGACCCCCTGATGCTCCAAGAGAGGCGAAATGTCATGTTATGGTACTTAGGAGAATAGGCAGTGATAGTAGGAAAACCACAGAAGCTGACATCACGAGCCCAAGTCTGATCACATAGATTGTAATTTCGCACACGGTAGGGAGTTGGCAAAGCCTCCATACAGATTATTTCCTAGCAATTAATGACTACCTTTAAGCCCTTAAGAACTTGCCAACATCTCACCTCTCTTCACAACCGCATTACCACTCCCTTCATTCATCACCCCAATCCTGCCTAATCAACTCGGCCCCCTTCTCTGCAACCATGTAGATACTCGCCACAATATTCACATCAGGCAGCACTGGTACGATACTGCAATCAACAACCCTCAACCCATCAACATCGTACACCTTCAACTTGTTATCCACGACACCGCCCTTATCCTTGGGCAGCATGCGATTGGTACCCGTGGCATGCCAATTGGGAATAGTGTTCGCCTTGATATACGCCAAGATAGCGTCATCATCATCATCCGCGACTGCAGATCCAGGGCTCACCTCACCAGAGTTGGGGCCGATGGTGAACTGCGAGAGAGCAGGGTGTCGTAGGATCTTGCGCAGGTACTTGAACGACGCGATACCGACGGCAGCATCGGTAGGGTCGGCGTAGTAGTTGCTGTCGATGAGGGGTGCATCCGACATGGATCCCGTGCGCAGTGTCACGGTGCCACGGGACAGCTGGACGAGGCTGGATGCGGTGACGGAGATGTAGGAGTCGTTGGAGCGGGGCGACCAGTAGGGAGTGGGGATCCAGGGGTACCAGACGCTTTCGAAGAGGTACTCAATGTGGGATTGGTTTGCGAGACCGGCTTGGATGACGGCTTCGGCACCGATGCTGCGGAGTTCGTCCTCGCTGAGCTTCTGGAACCCGTTTGTGACGCCCGAGGGAGCGGTGTATGGGCCGGTGAGGTTCTGATAGAACTTTGTTTGGGCAGCGCGGAGGTTCTCGGGAGTGCGTGACATGTCTGTGGTTGAGGCGCTGTCTTGGGCGCGGGCCATGATGGAGAAGACGGAGTGGTCGTTGAGGTGCTGGCCCACGTTCTCGTTGACAACGAGGGGTGTGATGCCGACTTTCTCGAGCTCAGCCTTGGGTCCGATACCTGAGACCATGAGGAGTTGGGGCGAGTGGAAGGCACCCAGGCTCAGGATAACTTCGTTGCGGGCTTTGACAGTATTGACGAAGCCGGTGGCGTGGTGGACATAGCTAAGACCGATAGCACGAGGTCGGGCGCCGGATGTGTCAAACTTGAGTCCGGTAACAGGGGAATCATGTAGGACCTTAAGGTTGGGACGCTGACGAGCCTGTTGATAGAATGTAGTGTAGCTTGACGTCCTTCGAAGATGGCCGTTGAGTGTTGTAGTTCCGTGCTTGACACCGACACTATCTCCCAGGTTCTGGTCCTTGACAATGGGAATATTAAGCGCCTCGCTACAAGCTACAATGAAGCCATCAGTAGCAGGGGGAACATATCCTTGGAACCCGAGTTCAAGCGGACCGTTCCCATAAGCGCTAGCCTCGTAAGTCTTGTAGTCTTGATTGAATGCTGCCAACGCATCCGATGAAGTCGGCGAGACGATTTTGGTACTCTTCACGAAAAGAGGCCACACGTCGCTCCAGCCCCATCCGTCATTTCCAAGTTCCTTCCAATGATCGTAGACACTAGCTGAACCACGGCCGTAGAAAAGACCATTGGTTGTGCTGGAACCTCCAAGACCCCTTCCGCGAAGGTACTGGATGGTACGGTTGTTCAAGTGCACCTGTGGCTGAGTTATGAATCCCCAGTCGAGCAAGCTACCCTTGATGAACTGATTGCCTCCCGGAGACTCGTAGGCTAATACTTGCTCTGGACTTGGCCCAGCTTCAAGCACAAGCACAGAAAAGCGGCCGGATTCGGAGAGGCGATTTGCCAGTACCAAACCAGCTGTCCCTCCTGCCTATTGTTAGTACATATATTCAACATATATAGTACTGGATAAGAATGAATATTGAAATCACTTTGCACAAGTACCGGATAAGGGTTGTAGAATGGATGAGAAATAAGCAGCGCAACATACCTCCGGCAATGACGAAGTCGTACACTTCATTGTATGATGCATCTTCGTCCGGAGCACTTCCGCGTGGAGTTTCAGCGTCTGCTCGCTTTGCAAACTGCGAGTTGTGTAAATCGAATGAGGGCCATGCCGAAGTGACATGTAGCAGTGAAGACAACGTCAGCAAGACGCATGTCGATGCTTGACCGACAGTCAAATGACGCATCTTGAAATAAAGTTCAATGTATACTGGAGTACTTTATGGGCTATCGAGTATTGATTTCAATTAAGATGGACAGTCTGGACATATAGCCAGGGCCTTGGAGTGAGAGAAAGGCACGAACGCGGACACCAGACAAAGGTTGGAATTTATACCTCTCAGTGATGATGTGACTTGAGCAATATTTGCCGTTCCCGTAGCCAAGAACGAGTGCTAAGGCTTTCCTGGACCTGGGCAGGCAAAAAACCAGTGCCTTCGTAAGACAGAGGCTTACGGCTGAAGCTTCATAGTCGGCTAGGCCGATATCCCGCATACCCTGGTCAGGGCTGGTATACTCTAAAGTTTCGGTCCAAGTTAGTACCCTCGCAGGTGGGGCCATCTTCTTTCATCAAGATTCAGCCGAGAGGAGGAGTTATATATCCCATCTTGAAAAGTATTTTGTACAGCCGTTTATGACCCTATGTCCACCGCGGGGACCAGATTTGTATGAACCTGCAGAAGATCCATACTAAGCTGACATCTCAACAAGGCCACCAAAGGCACCAACAGGAGGTACATGTGTGTAACACCGAAATGCAACAACTACACGTTGGGTAGACCATGGTGGAGCCAAGCCACTATTAGTCATTGCCCAGTCGAGTACCGTCACGCAAGATCGAAGCTCAGCGTCGATCGCCAAATGTCGATGTGAGCACACTCAGCGGAACTGCGCGGAGTCGTCGAAGGTTTAAAGAATACCTGATTGTTGATACTAGACAGTGATGACAAGTGCCAATGCTGACCAGCGCCTGCTGGGAGTGCGGGGAAGCCAAGCAAGAGCATTCCCGTGGTACCCACGCACGGAGCTACAAGCAACCGGTGAATAGAGCCCTGAGCAACTGTAAACTCATAGTTACTACGAGGTATACTCCTGGCAAAGCCACACATGCACGTCCGGCGTTATCGGATGGAATTGGGATCGACGCCTATATGGCCGAAGAGGCGACAGGGCTTTTGCAAGGTGCACAGCGTTAAAATGGCACGGCAATGGCGCAATGGCGTCACGCCTCAGCCATAATTGGCGCCGAGCGGGACTGGGGGTTAATTGTCGGGAGACCGGAGCGGCGATGAGAGGGTTTTTCTTTCAATCAGCTTGCGGGAGCCCTTTCGTTCATTGGCTGAAAGAACGGGATCCGAGAATTATCTTTCCTTAGAGGATGTGTATTATATTGAGGCTAGATGTTGGGTCTACCTTGTGAAAAAGGAGATGAATTGAATCTACCATGCAGAATGAAATGAGTAAACATTGTAAAAAAGAGATGAGTCTACTACCTGGCAAAAGCAGATGAGTATGCACAAAGTATATTTGATGCCTGCTCAATAGAATAAGCAATTTCCCAGAACCTGGCGAGCTGGGGAGGGATGCATTCGCCGACGTAGCAAAACATTGTGGTACCGGTAAGCCCATAGAAAACGCAGAAGTAATGCATGTCTTGCATGCAGACCATACTGCATTGGCAAGAGGTACCTCGTCGTCCAATGCATCAATATCTTGCAGCTGTCTCAACGCCAACTTCAAAGTATTCAGCTTTCCATACCACATACGGCCAAGGTGTAACGGAATACAAAGAATTGATGGTGCGTCACGTGACGAGCTGACAAGCTGACGAGCTTAGGGCCTGTTCGGTTCCGGCTCGTTTTCCGTTTGGTCATACTTGATCCAGACCCCATCAGGAGAGTCGGAGATGGCATCGTGTTCGGTACAACGGTTGTCGGAGCGCCATCATGTATACGGAGCTCCACTCCTCTAGTCCAGCGCTAACAGAAGAAGCCCTATGTTGTGCAGTTTTAACGCACCGCTTTCCCTTTTTCAGCAAGGAGAAGCTGGGCTCTTTGGCTAGAAGTAGGTCTCAAGACTTTCAGTAAGATTTCAAAACACAGTTGAAATGTTTAGTAACCAGGCCTCTCCATGTTCTATCCCGATCTGGATAAGCACAGCTGCAACGCTAACTGATATCCGCCAATCCAAAATGGTGGGTAAACGGAGATGGATAACAGAAGGGGGTAATCGAACAGGCTCTAAGATATCCAGCTGAGGGTATCGAAGCTAAAGTAAGAAAAAAGGGGGCTACAGTGGTTGGTGAACACAAGCCTGGGCGCCAGTCTCGGTGATGTCAACAACGCTGGGTTTAAAGATCAGCCCAATCTCAGTAAGAGCAAGACGACTTTTGGGACTGGAAACTCCAACCCATCGCCTAACTCGGGATTTAGATAAAGAGGCCACGACAGTGACCCATCCTTTCGCACTAGGTTCTTCATTTTATGAATTTTCAAATAGTCAATGTCCGTAGCGTGGTCCTATCATAAAACATAAAATGCAAAACTTACACTAACTTAATCACCTTTTGTAAGCCTCCAACCATTCTGCTGAGGTCTCAAACTTAATTCCAAGTCCTTCGCGCAAGTCAGCATCTCGCTCTGCCTGGCCATGGGCCCGCATCTCTGCCGAATCGCTTCATCCAACCCTCCAAAGAGTACGGCCAAACTCGAAGATTTCCACGTCCTTTTTCCATACTTGGCCTCACTACGGTATATCTTCCATACCGTCACGGCAAGAAAAACGCACGTCATGGCCACTATGCTGGCCGGAAAAGCGACCCAACTCCACCGCACTTGCACGCACGTTTCGGTCTGCATTGCATCGCCTTGGACAAAACCGGACTTCTCGCTCTTCTTCGAGTCGAGTAGTCGAATGGAAGCTGACATTGCTCTCGACAATCGCGCTGTGAAGGCTTCGACAGAGTCTAGATTCGTGGTACCATTGCGGTAAAGATTCTTGATCCAAAACTCACCATCGGACGCACTCGGGTTTCGAAGGCTGTATGCTAGTTTGAGTGTTTTTTGATCGAACCGATCGTCGAGGAAGGTCAAGAGGGCCCATTCAGTGTCTTGGTCCATGGCCCATATGCAGTCTTCTGGATACCACTGGAGCTCATCGGGGACGTCGGAATTATATCCATTGGCCCATAGAGTGTTATTAAAGACTCCAACTGGGGTCTTTATAGAGTAATTTGAACTGTATGTGCATGGCTCCCAAGTACCATTGCGTAAAGTTTTGGTAGATATGTGTAGGAAGGGATAGTTGAAGGAGCCTGGTGAGTTGGGACCCGATACTGGTTCTGCCGACAAAACGGTCTCTTTCAAATTGGATAGCTGGATGCTTGATTCGATAGTTTGAATAGACGGCCATAGACGGCATTCTGTGGCGAAAGGATGGACAACGTCTTTAAAGAAAACATTTGAAGTATTGGCGTGCGCCCAGTCCACAGTGAGGGTATGAACAGTGAAGCTAAAGAGGGTTGACTCTTCGGCACCTGAAGGCCAATACTCTGGGAATTGCAGTCTTTTATGGCCAGTCGATGTGGTTCGAAGTATTTGAGGAGTTATGTCAACTCCGACTCCCGTCGAGAAATTACCCAATCTGGGTATGTAGTATACTGACGACTGCTGAATGCGCCTCGTCTCGTTCGTAACATCCACGCAGGATGACTGCATAGCAAAGGTTTGGAAATTTGCATTCGATCCGGGTGCCGATGGGAAGGTGCAATTACCAGTAGAGCACTCATACTCAGTAACACTCTGCTCGCTGATGAGGCCAATATAAATCGCCGCAGCCATTTCAGGGCTGAGGACTGCTGTACCCCCACCAGTATGGAATCCTATCCCTATCATGTTCATTGCGCGGGGTATGCGCGCTACTGAGTTTGTGGAGACTTTCTGACAAGATATTGGGCGAAGAATTTGCTGAGTGAATGGATCTATAGCAAGCGCAAGAATTGTGATCCAGGAACCGAGGGCAGCGAGATGACTGTAATACTAATTAGAAAGATCCTTCATAACCTCACCACCTACATACCGACTTTGTAAGTGGAAGACAAGCAGCAGAGACCCCCAGGGTCCTCTGCTGGCACGGTCGAATTTATCGAAGTCAGTCAATGGCTTGATATCGGAGAACCATTGCCATTTTAGCTGACTTATCCCTGTCCACATGTACATGAGCAAACTGAAAAAGTCACTTTTTCCAGGTGCATACCTTCAGCGACTGGTAAAAGAATTGAAGCCTTAATCACCGCAGCGAGTACAGCGACCAATGCGTTGATGGAGATGTGAAGCGGCAGGTTCGTCCAGACGGAGCCGTCAAAATGGCGGAGGACCGATATGAGGCAGATTAACGCAATGATAGCTACGGCGCAACCAAGTGCTTCAGAGATCCAGCTGTCAGCCAAAGAGATGGCGATTTTCTTCAAGAGAGCATCGACTGAATCTTTCGATTTGGTTTGATTGCTAGCCTTCAAACCCGTATATTTTCGATTCGGATTGGATCCTGGATCTGTTTCCACTACTGACAGTACATTTGGCTCAATTTTCGTGGGGCACTTGTGGTTCGAACGCTCGTTAGGTTCTTCATACCATACTTGAGTACCGTCGCATGGTGCCTCTGCTGCTTGAGAAAGGATTTCAAAAGACCCCCGGTTTGGGGACTCTTTGGCGGGCATTGTTCACGATAATTTGGCACGAGGCTCAGTGAGTAGGATGTGCGAAAAATGTGTTGTTCTGAAATGCCACTGCTGCATGCTGTTTCTATGTATAGTCCGGTGTATGGCCCCCAACTTACAAATATAGGTCAGGCTGCGTTCGCCTACAGCGTTATCGCACAGTATACCGCCCTCGTAGCGCTTTCCACCGGCTGAATCCACTACAAAAGATAAGCGGGCTATCTAAATATCCTAATGTTACCTACCACGATATGAGACGCACACGGTGATAAGACACTTATGTACGAAGAACGCAGAACATTACCCTAAAGTCGGAGCTTCGTACCAATAAGTCATTAACTCGTCTTATAGTATTTACTTATTTCGATGCTAGCCTGTGACCGAGTTTCTCGCAATGTTATGAACACGTATGATATATATTACTTTTTCTGAAAAGTCAGGTCACACAAGGACGATATTGATTGGCATACAAGGAAATGTATCCATTGCTTTGCAGATCCTCTAAGAGTTCATTTTGTATTGGCAGACGACATGTTATGTTACAATTATAAAGCCGTACAACTACATACCTGACATATTCGTCAGCGTCAACTGTGGTGATTGTGATCGCATCGTATGATTACTGCTCATCTCCGAGAAAGAACATCCTGTGCACCCTCCTTCACCCTCTGTGCAGCATTGGCAACACTGTCCTTGCTAAGGGCGAAATGCGAGCCGAGACGTTCCTGCAATTACATCAATATCTTGGCGCCGTCCAAGTCACTTTGAAAAGCTTACCTGCTCAGCCCCCATGCCACTACCAGCCATCAACTTGGCCCTCTGCCGACCATCGTAGCCCAGACCATACCAGCTAGCATTCTTCTCTCCATTGGCGACCACGCTGCCTGCTGCCTGGACGGCCTTTACAGCATCAAAGCTGTGTAGAGCGGGGCTAAAGTGCGCGTTGTACCGGTCCTGCTCAGCACCATCACCCTGGTACTTGGCAGCCTCTCTGATGGCCCTGTAGCCTCGGTCGCCAATGCTGAGATGCGAGGCGTAGCGATCTTGTTCCGCACCCGAGCCGGCAGCATTGGCCGCGTTCTGGAGCTTATCGATGCCCTGTTCGACACCGCGCTTGATGGCGTCCGAGGAGAAGTGCTGGGCGTATCGGTCTTGCTCGGCAGCAGAACTCGACTTTGTTGTGACGTCGACGTTGACAGGATGCGTAGCCAGGACAGACTTCTCGTCGGAGCTAAACCAACCCATTGTGAAGTAGATTGAGATGAAGTGGGACGAACTAAAGGTTGCAGAGGTGTTATTTGTCAATTAAGAGCTGAAAGTGAGATTGCAAAGTAGTGAGAAAGAAGTGGACAAGAAAGAAGTGGACAAGAAAAAAGTCGTGTTATGTAGTATGGAGAGCTTCAGTTATGGAACGATGACGTAGGAACTAGCCAACTAGCGCGCATATCCTTGTCGCGTCCCTGATTGTCGCGGGGACTCACCACCAAGGTTCCGTGCATCTGGAATGCAGATGCATCAGCACGTGATATCATTACTTTAATGTGTCGCCATACGCTTGATATTCATATTTGACTTCATTCTATTTGGTTTTAAAACTTTGTGCTTGAACCTATAGACGAGGTTTATGACATTCACCTATCAAGTGTAGTGCAATAGCACTGCCATCACTCACCACCACGCAATCCACCATGCCTACTTATTATCATGCACTTCGTAAAGTTTTCAATGGGTGTCAATTGCTACTCCCGACATCATAACAATGTTCTTTCATCTACTAGTCGTGAATGCGATGTGAGGAGGGGGGGAAGCTGGGTGAATGTGGATTGACTGTGCGTTGAGCAAACGTGTTGCTGCCTACTCACTCACCTTCACTTTCATGCTTGCTTACATAAAACGAAATGGAAACTCATTCCGTTCTGCTATAAAGCATCTCCCACTATCCACATCTCATCATAGACCCATAACATCGTCACTGATTCATTTTTCATTCTATTGACTCCAAAATGGCTTGCGAGATTCAGAAAATCTGCGTTGTTTGTGGCAAGTCAGCTACCTCGAGGTGTCCCGACTGCAAGTCAGATACATACTCACGCTACTACTGCGGAAAATCTTGTCAGAAGACGGATTGGCCCAAGCACAAGGAAGCATGCCAGGGCACCCGTGATCAGCGCCTGGAGAAGAAACTTGAGCGGATCGCCGACATCTTGGAGCAAGTGTATTACGACTTCCGCAAAAACACGTGGGACACGTCCGTGGCGACGGTAATGGTCAGGGATGATTGCGTGGAAGTCTATCCGAATGATTCTGAAGAACGAAGTATGTTCGTCAAGTTTCCTGAGCATCTTGCCATAAACGAGCAGACGAGGAACGCAATCCTTTGTGCTGCTAGTTGCAACGAACCACTGGCGTATTTGAATGAGATGGTCATTGCTGTGTTTGAAGGTAAGTTGACGTCTGTACCATACTCAAAGCCACATGCTAACACAAGGCTCAAAGGAATGGATGTCAAGGTCGAAGAGTTCAAAGTCTTCATCCGCAAGATTCAGCGAAAGGTTGTATTTCGGTATGGCAGCGGACTGGCTTTGGATATGTCAGTATATGCCCATGAAACCCTCCGCATCACCGTGCCTGGACAGCAATGGATCATTGATATTACTGGTGCACAGCTTGGGGTTCGCAAAACGCTGTGGACTTGGAAAGATTACAAGAAAGAATATCACGCGAAACCTGAGATTGCATACCCGCTTGGTACAAACAAAGTTTTGATCAGGGCACTGAGCAGTACCCAGGGTCTTCAAGGCACGTGTCTAACGGTAAAACAGATGGCAGCTGACACTCTCAACACAGCCATTAGAGAATGGACTGACAATCACCAATCCATTGCAGCCATGATTCTCAAGGATGAGCATGGATACAAAGAAGCTAAGCTCAGCCTTCTCAACAGTATGGATGTTGCAGTCCGCTCTTTTGTTGAGACAAACAGATTCGAGACTGAGTTTCGAATCGCCAAGGAATATGATCGGAGGTACCCAGTCAGGGAATTACAGGAAATATCTGCTATCACCGAAGAATATAGCAAGGACCTTATTGAGAAATTTCTCACTAAGAAATCTAAGTGATTGGAACAGCCGATGATGATGGCAGTTTCCGTTGACGGAAAAACCACAGGGATTTCGGACCTCTACCAGTACTGCTGTTGCGACCTGCCGGCACTTGTTTCAAGTTTCCAATCTGGTTACTGAGGGGAGATGAATGCAAGGAAAAGGGCGAGACGGCGGTGGAATGGTCAAAATGCATACGATAGGCCAGGTCAGATGGAGTTAATCAAGGAACCTTCAGTCCACTGGCACAGCTTCAATAGCACTCATGTATTCAGACGAAACAAGATAGTATTTCAAACACATCATAATCAAACCACACAGCATTACACGATTATCAAATAGAAATAATGCCATGTCCATTCCACGTTATCCACGTGGCCATTGTAAAAATAAATTCCTATATATGTATATGTACAAAATAATGCTTGAAACCCGGTCGCGCATCTAGTGCTTCTTGGCCTTGATTCCCTTCAAGAAACCAGCATAGGCAGGCTTCTTGTTGTAGGACTCATCCCAGAGCAGGGCAGCGCCCTCACCAGCGAAAACGCCAGGGATCCACGAGTACAGGTCAGAAATACCCCAGACAGTCATACCAGTGCACTGCTTGACAGCAAGGCAGGACCTGGCAACGCGCTCGAAAGCATCGGCCTGGACCTGGAGCTTCTCGGGGGTGGCAGGGGTGTTCATGCGGAGATCGATCTCGGTGTAGGCGACCTTGACGCCGAGGTTGGCGGTGGCGCGGAGGGCAGCCTCGAGAGTGGCCTGGTCGGGGGCAGCGCCGGGGGCGGTGGGGGTGGGCTCGCTGGCGAGATGGGCCTGGTAGCCGACGCCATCAATGCGGATGCCGTAGGACTTGATGAGCTTGACGATACGGGCAGCACCCTGGGTCTTGTTGCCGTTGTACTCGAGGTTGTAGTCGTTGTAGTAGAGTTGGGCCTTGCCGCGGTACTGGTTGGCGAAGCGGAAGGCAATGGGCAGGAAGGCCTCGCCGATGGTGTTGTACCACACGGACTCGCGGTAGGTGCCGTCTTCGTTGAGGGCCTCGTTGACAACGTCCCAGCGGGTGCAGACGCTCTTGTAGCGCGTCATGACGGTCTTGATGTGGTTCTCCATGATGTCAATCAGCGTCTTGTTGTCGAAACCGCCGTTGGAGACCCAGGCAGGGAGCTGGGAGTGCCAGACAAGCGTGTGGCAGTGGACCTCGAACTCGTTCTTCTTGGCGTATGCGGCATAGCGGTCGGCATCCGCAAAGGTGAAGTTGTTACGAGATGGCTCGGTCGACTCCCACTTCATGCTGTTCTCAGGCGTGAAGGAGTTGAAGTCGGCATCCATAATCTCGTCCTCGCGGGTAGAGTTCCTGAGGGTCAGGGCAGTGCCAATGAAGTCCCTTCCGGCCTTCTCCATGGCCTTGTAAAGGCTATCACTGGGGCCAGGACGAACACTGAGGGTAGCGTAAGCGAAGGCGCCGGTGACTAGATTTGCTATGTTACTTACGGGCCGGCAACAGCAGAGCTGGCAAGAGCCAAGCTGGCGAGGATGCTAGAGAAATGCATGGTGTCTGATGCTGAGACTCTGTTTGATTCGAGCTGTCTGCCACAGTAGGTTGAAAAGTACAGCAGGTGTTCCTACATATATAGCATTCGACGGTTATTCTAGAATTCTAGCGTCTCCATGTTTAATCAATCCATCCGCCTCGGTGGTGCATCTTGACGCCAGCTGAGTAGTTTAACCGGGTCCTTGGCTCCTGCGTGTGCATATCTTCTAGGAATGTTCTTGGAATCTACCCCGTAGCGCCAAGTGCTAGCGGTTTGTGGAGATTCTCCAGACTAGTCCACAAATCAGCCGGCTTGGACCTCGGGAGCACTGGGCCAAGCTCCCGCTTCTGGGGTAGACTGTTGGGACGCCTGATTGAAGTGGGCATTCCTGGGGTATAGACTGAAGACGTGAAATGCAGGTCCCACTCGCTTGAGAGGCGGGCATGCAGAACGGGCTGCAGCGAATGCAGAAACTGGCCGGTTAATAGGATGTTTCCTGTCACCATTGCCCACCCGTTCATCCGATAGCACACATGTGCCTCATGACACTGGTTGTGGTTGTGGAGGCAAACGAGTAAGTGAGCACAGAACGTGTTTTTGCTGGGGATTGATCGCCAACCGTTCCAAGCATGATCCACATGCATAGCAATCTATCATGCAGTTGGCATGCATCAAATTGACACGTCCGGTTCCCCGGCTTACCAGGTTGGATTTCATACCATGTCTCTCCTACACTTCCCTCGCCACCATGGTGGTTATCGGTTGACTTCACACAGCCTCCATGACGACAGGAACCGCTGCGTGTGTTGGACGCGGTCGCGGAGCCACCATCGGCTCCCCGCTAGTAATTTAGCGTGCATAGCAACAATTCCACATCTAACCGCCAATCACAGCCACCCGCAATTACCCATTTAACCGTAACCACCACGCCGCGCGAACCTGACCGTCCTTGATAAACCCAACGTCGCTGCAATCACCGCACTCAAAAAGGAATACACTGCAAGAGTTCAGTGGCGAGAAGACCATAGCCAGAATCGATAGCGTTGAGCCTTTTTGCCATCGACTTGGACATCACCCGGGACTGTGTTGTTCTACACAATGCCTTCTACCAGTGCTTGCCCCACGACTTTCCTCATAGGACCTAGTCATCAACGCTTGGCCGTCTCCTCCCCCTATACGAGAACTTTGGCGTCAAATTCCAGCGGAGCTTCCCAGAATTTTCACCAGTTTGTCCTTGACAGCTTCGTCTGTCATGTACCTTGCAGTACCAACGGTTGGCAACGCAAATATTCTTTGCTCAATTCCCCAACCCGTTTACCTCACTTTGCTCTTTATGTAGCGGAACATTTTACATGCTGCTGCCGGTTTTCGTCTCGTCGATAGGGTTTTTGAGAACTATACCCTCAGGTGAGAAAATGTGTAGAGGTAAAAACGCTTACCAGCTCAACACCATTCTTGGTTTGGCACTACGTTGGACGATACAAAGCCCCGCCCTCTCCGCTCATGAACACTTCTATATGGTTTTTGAACGCACTAGGAATGCAGTTATGAGACATGTCTCTTTGGAAAGCCTCTTCAATGACTGGCACTTCGCCAAAACTCCCAAATGCAAAATTCAACAGCACTATCAAGTTATTTATGATACATTTAGGTCTCGATTGCTCCAAGCGTTCAATCTGGTAATCAGGTGTCGTGGCTCAATGACTTACCAAGGTTTAAACTTAGCCTGCAATCACCTAAGCGGTATCTCTTTCACGTGCCAACAGAGTCATGGTATACCAAATATAGAGCTATGAACGATCTTCCAGCCTGGTTGACAGCTCACAATCTCGCGTCCCACAATGTTCTTGAAAGACTGTGTGAAAAGGTTCGTATCAATCAGATCAACTGGGAAGACTGAAGATTGTTTGATGAACACGTAATACTCCAATCAAAGGAAAGCAGCATGAGTTGTCGACTCATTGTGGCAGCTTGAGAACGGATGGATATGCAATAGACTGATGCGCAGTTTGGAAGCAAGTACTATTGCGTCATCACTCTCCTTTGCATGTCGTAAGCGAATAGCCTTCCTACTCGTTTTGTAATACTTATTGCGAAAGATGCAATTCCTTATATCTCATGCGATGTTCACAGAATTTGAGTTGTTCCAGTGAGCAGTATATGTCTCAAGTAATTATTCGCATATGAGAAGGGAAAATTGAGTAAGGATTGGGAAACAGTGTCTAATGTAAACCACTCTTTCTTTGCTTTTCTTTCCTACACTTTTACGACATTGTATTCCGCCCGAACGCCGATAGTAGGCTTTGCAATCACACTTGTTACACCAATGACAATATATACCAAATTACGTATCAAAGTATCCGAAGACACTCAAGTATAAGTTTAGTGGTTCCGGTTATCAGCATCTTGATCAATGAGCGTCACCTAATCTCTACAAGTGCTGAGAGACGATGTTCATGCACGTGACATCGTCTTGGCACGGCGTTCACCTGTATCCCAGCAATGTAACCGGATTGGGCGCGCCAAGGTCGTGCGCACGGCCACCCGCCAGGAGATCAATCCGTACCGTTTCATCTGGACTGCCAACATCTTCAACCACAATGTCAATATACAATGCGCAATCCTGGAACGATTGAAAAGTCGCAATCGACAACGACCTATGTCAGCGCTCACATTGTCAAGCCACAATGAGCTCCCAAGTACCCATCCAGATAGCGCAACGCCCTGGATTTATACCGGTCCCCCGCCTTTACCACAACGATAATCAAGACAAGTCCACGGGATCAGCTGCTTCCTCTATTTCCGGGAAAAACTCAAACCGGAAAAGCTCTTTCAACCCGGCACGCACCTTCTATCACGACAACCACCATCAGCACGTACAACAACGTCATCCAAACTTGAAAAGAGACATGACTACCTATTACTGCTATGGAGAAGACGGCAAAGTCACTGCTACCAATCTGAATCCAAATGCTCCAGCATTCACACGTGGCCTCCAAGGAACCACCTCAGACCAGCAACATGGAGACATTGTTGGAGCCTATCTCGCACACCGTGCAATGGTTTACCCCGCACCAAATCCAGGAGAAACAAATCAGTATGGGAGCACCCCATATCAGCCATGGGGCCAGCCACTCGAGAACAGCACTACATCAGAACCCATGGAGCCAAGCCACTGGTCCAGCGACGAATATGAGTCATCTAGCTATCCAACTAGTTCACAAGCTGAGTCTATCAGTACTCTGGGCTATGCTGGATGGGCTTCCCACTCAGGTATAGCTCATCCCTACCCAAATCCGGAAGACATTCGTCATATGCACACATTGCACAGCCTATTGCCATATCTGCAACCGGAGAGAAAGTTGAACGCCCTACACGGGCCGGCAGTCGATATCATTGAGCAGGATACTGGAGTTGTGCTTGCCTACCAAGTTCCCAAGAAGCTGCTGGTTTTATTTCTTGGCCGGAGGGTTGTCAATAAGTACATCCGAACGGTACAGCGCCAAGATGGCAAGAGCTCGAGCGAACAGCCAACATACCAGGAAATGAACCTACCTCGTGGCAAAAGCAGCAAGGCCGCAATGAGGGTGTTGATTGCCTGGATGGCAAGGGCTTGCCAGTATCACACCATGGCTACTATGGAACAGATTCGCATTCCCAAGAAGACGTTTGTCGCATGCTCATTGGCTCAAACAATGGAGCTTCTTGGCCTCCACAAGGATGCTTTTCGAGTGAACAATTTCATCGCACAGACGCATTTTGTCCGCCCAATCTTTGCAGTCGAGCTGGAGGCCTTGTGGAACTGTCTTGGCGAAGAAAATCGATACGTCTACGCAGCTATCCGGGTTGTCGGTAATAGATTGCAGACACATGAAAACAATGATTCAAAAGCCGTTCCTGGTATTGACGCTGACATGTACGCTACGCTGAAGAGGTATCCACAGCTGGAAGCCCGTGTGCGCGATCCGGAGCTGAATGAACGGTACCATCCACACTTCAGCACGAACTGGACGAAAAGGTTGGGAGGCAGCGAACACAACAAGAGGATGGGTAGTTCTCCGGGTAGTCATGAGACAGTTCGCGACTACTGCCCAACTGAGGATGACCACAAAAGCCAGATACGGGATGTCGAGGACGTGGCAAACAGTCTTGAAAGCTTAAATATCGTTCCTGTTGATTCGAAGTCTCTGGCAGCCCATGCAGAGAGCGACGTTATGCCACATGATGGCAGTGAACCAACACAGTGGTAATCAAGCAGCTGGTGCGGCTTTAGCCATGTCTTTTTTCTCTTCATCAAGTTTATACGAGTTTTTTTAGGGGGGTTGTATGAAAGCGTTTTGTTTATCTAAATGCATCATCATGGGCGTTTTGATTCACGGCAGATATCCGTTGGGCTGGCGAGTTGAGCATAGCACGGCGCTGGGGGGTTTCTTGTATCCAAATGTCTCTTTGCATCACTTTACGATAGTATGGGAGCACGAATTGCAAGCTGGACATGAAACTACTTCCTTCTTTTGTGGAGATGGCTATACGTTGGCAGATGAGGAATCTATATTGAAGGGATGGTGTCTGAATGAGGTGTATCAACATGGTTTCAAGCATGAATATCTTACATTCAAATTCGATTTTTTGAGTATGCGATGTGCCGGTGATGTACATATGATCAATGGCTTTGTTACAACTCACCCCAATGTGAAAAAAAAAGGTACAGCATCATCACATCAATGATAAACTTGACCTATATTGAAGATCTTGGTCATGATTCAGTCAAGGAGTCACCAGGGGGGCTTTCATACCCTTCACAGTGAAGTATCAATGACTTATATCAGCACCAGCAATTCCGCTGAGAAACTCGCTTTCTTAGAGGATTGCACTGTGACCACTCAAAAGAAAAATCTCCAGTCCTCTAATAGGTCATTTCCATAACCAGTGAGCTTTCTGGTATGGCACATGGAAATTTAAACGATAAGTGTCCTCGCGGACAAACACATTGCCACCAACGATGTTCAGCACAGTGTCAGCCACCAAGTGACACCAAACCCGTACCAGATGCTTCTGGATCTCAACAATGGCTCCAGTATACACATACACAGTCTACTGGTGCTACATGCATCGCTCTGACCCCAAATAGCCAGCGCCATGGCGATCATGTCTCCTGCAGACAAAACATACCATATTGGGACGACTTCAACGGTATCATCTACGAGATACCTCACGGAAAGCCTCTCTCTCTGTTGAAGACGCCCTCGCAGCAGGCAGATGGAGGACGAAGTGCTGAGCCGCAAAACTCCTGTGCTGAAATTGTAGGAGACAGACCGCATGGGAAGAAAGATGTTAGTTATACAATACCAAGTCCCTCATATATTGCACAAGAGAGCATGCCTTACGGTGAGAATGAGAAGCCCTCGGACCTCGCGTCATGTGTCGATGCAGAGGAGACGCAGAGCAAAGGAAGTCTTTCAGGTTCGACGAAAGATGAGTTTTACGCCGGGGAATCAGTTGAAGGAACATCATACACCGAATAAGAACACATCAGTTCGCTACTAAGGCTGAAAAGCGAGCAAAATCCTGGAACTAGGTAATGGTATACGTCAGGGCTGCAGCAAAATCTAGTGTAGTCTATAACTATAGCAGAGAAATAAATATTCGTGGTTACCAGAGACCCTATGAATCGTGGAGGCTGACTACTGTTTCAGTCCTGGGAAGATGAACCAAACAATCCCCTAATCGGTGCTCGTAGTTCACGATGAAATGGCCGAGGTTCAACTGTTCAACTCCACATCTCCACACGGTCCGTGCGTGCGCTTCCCCGCAACGCGTCTTCCTGGCAAAGCACATCCACGACTGAGGCCAGGCCAATTATCAAGATGCTCACTCTCAAGCCCTTCCGCATGCTGCAAACCGCCAGATCACTCTCTCCTACCCGGGATTACACCAATCGCTGAAGAAACTCACCCCCAATACCGCCCGAATTCGTTTCTCTTCCCTCCACCCCAAACCACCATGTCGCAATCGCACGCGATGAACTTCTCCATTCCCGACGACCTAAAGCAATACCTCGCCGACCTCGACAAATTTATCGAGGAGAAGATAATGCCGTTACAACACAAAGAGGATAACAATCGGTTCTTCGATCACCGCCGCGAACACGCTCGAACAGATTGGGATAACGGTGGGCTGCCGCGCAAAGAATGGGAGGATCTATTAGCTGAATCCAGAAGACTGGCGGACGAAGCTGGGTTCTACCGGCTTTCACTGCCAAAACGATACGGCGGGCGAAGTAACGCCGACGGACGAGGAAGCAACCTCTGGATGGCTGTCATTCGAGAGCATCTTGCAGCAAAAGGGCTAGGGCTATTCAACGATCTTCAAAACGAGCACTCAGTGGTCGGAAACTTCCCGGACGTGGTTATGCTTATGAATTTCGGGAGCGAGCAACAGAAGAATGAGCTTATACCGCTGCGACTTGAGGGCAAGTTTAGGATGACGTTTGGGTTGACGGAACCGGGTCATGGGTCGGATGCTACGCATATGGCTACAAAGGGGAGGCCAGAGACGAGGAATGGAGTCAAGGGATGGTTGCTGAATGGGTATAAGAGGTGGCAGACGGGTATGCACAGTGCCACCCACTGCTCGATATTTGCGAGGACGTCGGGGAAAGATGGGGAGGTTAAGGGCATATCTTGCTTTATTGTACCTGTTGAGACGCCAGGTCTCAAAGCAGAGTCGTACGAATGGTGTGTATCTGACCTTCCGCTTTGCTTAAAACGCATACTAATCACCAACCGCAGGACATTGAATATGCCTACCGATCACGCGACTGTCTCAATCAAGGATGTATGGGTCCCTGAAACTGCCGCCTTGGGACCTATACACAACGGGCTGGGAGTTGCTCAAGCCTTTGTGCACGAGAACCGCATCCGACAAGCTGCTTCATCCCTAGGCGCAGCTGTATACTGCGTCCAGCAATCTGTCGAATATGCCAATGAACGCGCGCCTTTCGGAACGCCCCTCTCGCACAACCAGGGCATCCAGTTCCCACTTGTCGAACTTGCAACTCAGTGCGAAATGTTGCGCCAACTCATACGGAAAACTGCGTTGGAAATGGACTCCATGCCACACAACGAGATCGAAAAGAAGATTGGGGACAAAGTGTCCATGTGTAATTACTATGCGAATAGGTTGTGTACAGAGGCAGCCGACCGCGCGATTCAGGTCCATGGCGGCAATGGGTATTCGAGGCACTTTCCCTTTGAGCACATTTGGCGACATCATCGACGGTACAGGATTACCGAAGGGAGTGAGGAGATCCAGATGCGCAAGGTGGCCGCGTATCTATTCGGATTCGGTGGCAGGAAGAGTCTGGTAGATGCGACAAAGCCCGATTCGAAATTGTAGTTTGGCTGATCAAAGTTAATCGAAATTCCCGTGTTAATCGAGTATTGTCCAAATTGATTAAGACTGCTTTGATTTAAACGCATACACTCGTTCTTTTATTGATTCATTCATGCAACCCAGTTCCGAAGCCGCCGGTTCAACCCTGGCATTGCATCTTTCTCCGTGATCACAGGTAGCAAGATCACAATTACCAGAAACCAAACCGCAAATCCTAAGATCCACAGAAATGTCGACTGTAGAGTCGAGCTCTGCGGAGGCCTTGGCAGAGGCTTCGATTCTACTCTTCTTACAGCCCCGCGACTTGGTCTGCGCCCGGGAACTGGTGGAAGTGGCTTGGATGTTGCATCCTGGTGAGCCCATGTCACAGCTGCGAGACGATGATGCGTTGTTGAAGGCGTATTCGAAGCATATGGTTTTGGCGGTACGGGTGGTCCCTCTGAGTCTAAGAATGGTCTGCGGTTGCGTATTTGATGGGGTTCCATTGTTAGAGTGGGGAGTTGCTAGGTTGGTGGGGGAAAATGGGTATGGAAGTGATGTGAGTTTGAGGTTGGGGATACACAGATGTTGTTTATGTTGGTGATCTTGCGCTTTTCTTCTTGTGGACTAGCTAGGTTTGGGGCTCGGCTGGGGGGGTTGTCCTGTGCGATGAATGAGGTCTTCATTTTTGTCGGATTGGATGGTTTTTTTTATGAATAGGGTTTGGGTAGAAATTAAAGAAATGTGCGAGAGACAGGAGTGGAAGATGGAAATTGTGGTGGCCTAGTAAGAAGTTTGGTATAGTTTGCTCTTGTGTTTTCTCGACAATTTGTCGGTTTCCAGATTGAATGAATAGTTTATCAATGCATGTTTTAAGCAAAGTTTGCGTTTTGAGAGATAGGACGAATATGTTTTAAGCTGGCGCGGTTTTTGTGCTTTGACTCATTTTTAAGACTTCATGTTCAAATCTAGTATAGACACTGCTTTGTTATCAAGATAGAGTCTTGGTCTATTTTGCGTTAAATCTTATAGTTATGATCAACACATAAACGCACATATATACGTCTATATCACATCGCCATGAATGAGAAAGGTAATTCGGTTACTAAAGTACGGACACCGAGATGACTTATTCATGTTAACCGTGTCAGTATGATAGCAACGTCGTACTGTCTTTTTCTATAAGGAAAATGAAGGATTTGGGAAAATGAAAGTTCGAATCTGCAGCCTCGATCACAGTGCTGTCAAGATCCCCACCTGTCATTCACATTCACTGGTCTCCAATCACGTCACTAGCATCCTTTTCACCCACCACTGCTCGTCCTTGGATTAGTGAGAGGTCATATGTACGGCGTATGATATGGTCAGTTTGCAACTTGGTTTTCATGCTTTTGCCTCCCTGCTTCTATATCAGTCTCGCCAAAAGTACTAAACAACTACACAACTCAACTCAACTGTCCAACATGGATACTTTCGAAGACACATTGCCTCCTGCGCCTCCAGGCATTACACCAGAAGTCCTGACCAAAATTGAGGCGCTTTTCCGAAATACACACTTTCCTAGCATCTCAGGGCCCATTAATGAGCAAAAACACCAAGTTCCCGCAACGGATATCCCGGACACCCTCACAGATATCGTATATGAAGACCAGTCCATACGGGAAGAAATCAATGTTCCAATCAACGAGACGGGAGTTTTCATGGAGCACGATTCAAATAAGGAGCGAGAAGAGGAAGTAAGATTGAGGAAGCAGCGGCATCGAGTCAATGGCAAGGGAGCACGAAAGAAGCACACCCGAAGCACAGCAAAGTATGATTGCTCCATTCAGAGGATAGTCGCACGTATCGAATACCCCTCAAAGACCAGTCTGATTCACCTCCAATCTACTCCCTGTTCACCAGATACGATCGAGACGACAGAAAATCTTCCATTCAATATCTTCGCACTTTCCACACGAACCATCCACTGCGTCTCGAAGTACATAACACAATACCTTCCCTTTCCACTTTCTCTAGTTCGACTCCTGGTAAGCAATTACTTGAATGTTGATACCAAGTACAAAATGGACACCAGGACCGAAATCGAACTAATGAAGGTGGTTCGCGTTCTCGCATTTACAGGGGGAGAAGAGAATGGAGATATTGGATGTGTCGAGCCATTGGAGATACATGCGAGATACAAGCGAGTAAGGGAGATTATGAGGGAGAGTGGATATCAGGTTGATGAGGATCTGTATAGAAGACAGATCAAGAAGGCGCTGGGGAGGCTGAAGGAATAGGGGTTAGGATTTTCTGGAGAGGGATTGGAGGAGGGGAGGATGTGTACGGAATGATCCATTGATGGCCGTGCAGACCAGAAGGCTTTCTGTTACGTTCTTTGCATACTTGCATTGCCACGCTCTCTATAGGCATACCTGATGACTTTGAATAAAATCTACTCTATCAAAACTAGAGTGCAATGATATGAGAATGAACGTTACTATGGAAATGAAAACCAATGCCAAAAGGTTTAGTTGCTCAATCAGTCCGCGAAGAGCCACTCAGCTAATTGATTTTGATATAGTTATGTCTTTCATACTATATTTACCAATTTGACCTTCATGTATTGTCAATAGTAGGCCTGGCTTCATATGGCAGTGCGCATTTTCAGCAGTACAGTCTTCCTGCCAGAATAATGGTCTGTTGGCGACAGTGATGCAATTGGTGTCGGGCGTTGCCTAGCCCCTACCTCTGAATCTAACATGTTAATGTTTCTTTCTAATTGGCGTCATTCGCATCCAATACCTGTCTGGGGTAGCACCAAACTGCTAATGAATATTGGAGTCTTCAATTGCTACTCACTATCCCACCTGAACAGTCTCCACTCAACACCATGTAACAAGACTGTTACATAGCACTGATTGGTGTCGCTCACCAGCAACAACGACTTCACCGGTTTTTAGGCTCTTAGTCGCTAACCCGACCAGGCAATTACCACGCGAAGGCGTCAAGCACTGCTGACGGTAGTGTTATTGGCGTCGCTCGCGAGCGACACCCCGCACATGACCCTAGATACCCTCACCCCACAGCTGCTGAACACAACAATACGTACACATCTAGCACAACACCTGCTGTGGACAGTTCATTTGCCATATGAAGCGCCCGCATGCCATTGCCTCGATATGGAAGAGGCGGTAGATAAAGAGGCACATTGCCTTCCAACTACTGCTGGATACTGGCAAGGCTATTGGAAAGCCACGAGACTGCTTTCGCGCTTTCGTGAGGCAGACTGAAGGGCTGTTACTAATTCATTTGACCGACCTCCTCAACGAACGGTCGAGGGTTATTGGACTCGGAAGAAGCGCAAAGACACTTCCTGCATACACATCCTGCAGTTGCCTTGGATCTTGTTTTGGCCCCCAAATGCTGATGTCGTACCAAATCAGCCACTCAGCCTTGGATGGTACTGCGCCGCAACAACCTCGAAAAGATGCCTCTTGTAAACACCCGGCCTGAGGATGTAAGGCACATCCTCTACACCACAATCGCGAACATTGGAAAAGATATACCACAGCTCTTGGTCATTGAACCGCTAATCGTGCATCATGGCTCCGACATCAAAACAATTTAACGCCACTACAAGTAGTATGAGTCAAGAGCCTCGTACGAGGCTCCAAGTGCTAACCTATTCTACTAGGTCAACGCCTGTTTCGAGAGAACCATGTAAAGAAGCAGGCAACGCGTCGACGAGCCCAACGCGATGGACCTCTCCGACTTCAACTGCGATTCCTCACCGCGACTGATCCGTCGCATTTCAGGAATGACGAGACGAGACGTAGCGTGCGTTCTCACGCAATGTCATATCACCGGAATAAACCACGAAAAGAAGCTAGGCTACCTCAGGAATGCTCCGAGGTACCAGCCACAAAAGAATTTGCTGCCTTAGGACAACGCGTCGGGCGCAATGGCCGTGATCGTGAAGATGCACCTGGGAAACTGGAAGTTAGCCTGCAGCAGCAGCACGACGGAAATGAAACGAACCCAATTATACGTCGGCATGCTCACGACAGCATCACACTTGAACATATGCCACAATCTAACCGACAGCTGTCCGCCACACGCGCCCTGCTGACGCTGACTAGCCCCAAGGCCAATTCAGACGACTGTGACTCTGTTGAGAGTCAAGAAGAGCGCATACTACGTCTTTTCACGGCCAAAGTGACTACAATGTGCCAGATTGGAGATGGTGTTGATCCTTTTCGTGTGCTACCGAGCTTCAGAAATCCGGAGGTCAACTCACTTTTCCTCAAGCGTCATTGTAAGCATACATTTTCACGATTCATTCACCCAAAACCCGCACTTACTAACCCAATTAGGCATTCAGACATTTGCAAGTGATTCGTTCCACGTCAAATGGCTCCCTGTCATGCTTTCTGATCGCGAAGTTATGCTTAGTTCTGCAATCCTAGCTTCCGTTTGGCTAGACATACACGCAAATATTCCAGGCGAAAGCAAGCAAACCACCATGCTCAAGGACGAGATCATCGGTATGATTAAGCAGCGGCTGCTACAGAACAGCACTCCTTCGTCAGATTCAACAATCATGGTCGTGCTTCACTTACTCATGGGTGAGATATCAGGCTCCAATGAAAAGGCGCTTCGTGTACACGAGCGGGGCATTGCATATCTACTTCAGCATCGTGGTGGGCTACAATCTTTGGGCAACGAAATCTTGGCAGAGACATGCACTGCGTGAGCAAACCTTCTCACTGATCGACGTTGTGCTAACCTCGCATGCTAGGGTCTGCTATCACGGTGATTTGATCTGCGAAGCCGAACCTCTACCTGATCTCGCCACTGATCTACCAGTCGTAAACCCGGCAACTATTGACGGTGTTGAAATACCTGAGTCTCCTCTATTTTGCCCTAGAACAGACTTTACGACGATTGCTAGCGACTTGCATTGCTCGACTTCGACGCGTGACTTACTTCGAGACATGCGGGACTTGACCGATCTCTTCATTTCCCAAGAAGCAGCATCTGAGACTGTTCGCGATACTTGCACGCCAGATGCGGCCTTCTGGGAACAGCGCGACGCTGAGTACTGCAGTAGAGTCACTACAATACGCAGGCGCTTGACTAGTCTCTCCTCAGCACATGTTCCAGACCTCCCCACTTCCAATGACTGGATTTTCGAGGCCTGCCGTATTACCGCGCTCATCTATACCGCTTCCATCATATCACATCTACCATTCTCTACTGTTGCCGACCCATGCCGAAACCCGCTTGTGGCAGAGTCGGAAGCGTTCAACTGTCTGGGATCCGGCGCGAGCCATCTCAACACACACTTGAGCGAAGCATTGTTCAAAACACTAAGCCGTACTGCTGTTGCGGATGTATGGGATAAGATGTCTGGTGTTTTGTACTGGGTAAGTACCGTTGGCGCTGCAGCAGCTCGTTCGTATGCTGGAGATGATATAAATGCTAGATGGGTCCGACGGTATCTCGTGATTTACTCGACACGCACAATGGTCAAGCTGGTATTTGATCATGCAAAGCCCATCGTGGTGTCACAGAAGAAACTCCTCAAGGTACAGCAGCTCATCAGCAGACACAATGGTCGTGACGTGGAGAAGGTCACTTAGATCTCACCGCCAGTCATAAGGCTGAGGAATCGTCGGTATACTTGGCTCTCCGATAACGTTGATGTCCTTTCAACATGAGACAGAATGACTAGTGCATAAACGCAAGGGTCGCAGTCAGCACTGGGGCAATTGTAGCGCTTATTTTTTATTTTTTTATTTAGCCTAGGCATGAGGTCCTCCTAATAATGTGCTCGAATATTGATAATCTCATAAAGAAAATAGGGCTGTACGATAGGCTTTATCAAATTACAGTTGTTGAGCAAAATGATGTTATCTTATACGTCCGTACATGAGCGACTTCCATTACCGAGCGAATTTTCTACGTGGTAGCGTATCGTCGGCCCGTATTGCCCGTATTATCGAAGCGAGACATTTATCACGAGCGATTACTTCTTTCCCCATGTCTTTTTCTGTCTCAGGTCAGCGGGTTATACGGACATGTTCGGATCATGTATGGCGCGGTCACGTTGCTTCATTGCCACGTGAAGTTGCGCGGGGATTCGGATTTAGCACCATCCGCTCCGTCCGACTCGTCACACCCTTTATCCCCGATACACGGGACACACGGTGGGCCACTGCGGATCTCCATAGTGACAAAAAACCTGAGTTCTGTCTAGCCACGAACCAATCCGTTTGCATTTGTGGCTTTGCATAAGCTGCTCTGTGTTGGCGGGCTTCCTTACTTGGGCATACCAGGACTGCCTTGAAGGAACCATGTTAATAATCTTCTTCTGGAATTTTCGCGTGACCAGTTCTGGCGCCACATAGTACTGTGTACTACTTGAAAAATTTAACAACGGGATGATACTGTACCTGCTCCAACTGACCGCCTCCACGGGTTTGCAAGGGTTTGGTCGGAAAACGCCTACTTTGGGAGCCGATGCAGATCTTTGTTGGTCCGTTTCGTCCGCTGCTCCGCGTCACGACAGCCAGCGTGCAAACCGGTCAAGTCAGAAGTCCCAGAAAAGCTAGTTCTTTGAAGGATCACATGTGGCGCGAATGCACTGTGGCTAAAATGCTTGTCTAGAGCTTAATTTCGAGCAAAGCCTTGAGGCATTTTGAAAAAGACTCAGATGAGTACCTTTGTCAAGACGCGCGCATGTGGTCCAAAAAGTGTTCATCGTAAGCTTTGTAAGATTTCTAACACAGAAAAAGCAACTTTGAAACAGATGGCTTGCTTTGGGGATGCCTTGAAGCGCCCAGCGCCCTGTCTTGAAGCTGGTGACCTCGCATCCCCTTCCCTCTGGACAAATCAAGCGACCACGCAAGGGCAATGTGCATTGATAGTCAAACCCCCGATCCATCTGGATGACGCTGGCGGCTGCTAACTCGTCCGAAATTATGACACGGGGGTGGCTTACTTACGACTTCCCTGAATTCCGATTGGCAATGTAGGCACACTTTGCTCGGCTAGGCAAGGGTCTACCTGCATGATACACTACCGACTCACAATGAAAAGCATCTGTATAAAACTTCAGCGCCCGCATGAAAGGGGTCCAAGAGAGGAATGTTGTCTTAGGAAACAATCGCTTACTAACCTTTTCTCTATCACCATGGTTCTCGTCACCCGCTTCTGGCTACCTAAGCACCCCAAACACGATGCGAGTCAAGAAGACAAACTCACCACAGACAAAAAGCCTGTACAGCAAACCCAAGTCACGCCAATATCGATTTCTCTGAAGCGACTATTTCTACCAAAGCAAGATTCAGCAAAGGGTCCATGGGTTCCAAATATCTCGGCCGTTGTCAAAGCTGCAGATGAGGGTCTGATTTCTTCCGCACTATTCACAAGTCTCCAAGAAGAAGACGGACAAATACCGCTCACCGCTCTATACCAAGCATTTGAAAAGGAGATCCGCGCTCGTTATCCCCTCGAAAGATATCCGTACGCTACAGATGTAGCCAAAGGCCATGCCCTGACGAGGAAGCCTTCCGGAGCCCTTGGCCGATCTAAATCGGTATCGGGGACTTCACGGTCAGAGGCCAGCCTGAAAATGCAGAGGAAAAGTATGGACCTGTCCATGACAGAACTGGGACGGGCTAGAAGTCTTGTTGTAAAGAAGTGGTCGTCGCCTCTGGTATCGATGCGTAACGGACTACCAAGTGATGGAAGCCGTCAAACCGGGAAAAAGACATGGGCCAAAGACGGACAGAAAGCAAAAGTTGAAAAAGGCCGGACAGTCATAACCATCACACCCGCCGAACTCACTGCCCTTGCCATCATGCTCGGGAGCGAACCGAAGCACAATGTCGACAAGACAGTTTTGGTCTCAGAGACGGGCGCCTACAACATCTCCATAGTCCCCATGAAAGCAGGCGGATCAAAGTACCACATCACCCTCCAGCAAACCAAGCGCAACAAATGTCAATGGCACGCCCAAGACTCTGGCGTCTCCCCACTCTTCGCAAAGCACCTCGCTGCCGGCTCCCTCCCTTTTACCCAAGACGCCCAAAACACCCACAGCATCCTCATCACGCCCTCAACCCTCGAAGCCATCCAAGCAGGCTCCCCCCTCACCTCCCACGCCAACCCAACCCCAACAAAGCAAACCACCCTACTCTCCTCCCTCCCCTCCTCTCTGCCCCCAAAATTCTACCTCCTCACCCCCTCAAACTCCCTCCAACCCCCCACCACGCTCCTCAACGCCATTGCCGCCTTGCCCTTCTCCCGGGGTCTCGCCCCTCTCGCCTCAACCCCCCTTATAAAAACAATCTCCTTCATCGCCACCGGCGGCATCGCACCAGGCAAACTGCTCCCCCGCCTCGAAGCCCTCGTCGCCAAACTCCACCACCACTCCCCACACCTCTCCCTCTTCGGCGCCCTCTACGAGCAGCGAAACGCAAAATCACTACACCGTGAGCGCGAGCGCCTGCGCCGCCTCGGCGTCGACCCCACGACTCCGGATTCGCGGGCTGATAAGGCGGCGAGGATGTCGCGCTATGTGGCGCTGCTGGAGCGCTTGATGGCACTGGTGCCGGATGCGAAGCCCAGTGAGGTGCTGAAGAAAGTTGAGGAAGGGGTCAGGAGTGAGATTGCGGATGCGTATGCTAGGGCTACGGGTAGTATGTCTAGGTCTGGCTCTACTACGTCTGCCTCTGCCACTGCTACTACGGCACCCGCTGCGCAGCCGGCTGCGCAGCTTGCGGTGCCAGCAGCCAAATCTGAAAACCCGGACCGACGGCTACGGCGGCTGTCCAATCGCTTGAGCTTCGTCTCGCGTGCTTCGACGGGGTCGAGTGCGAGTTTCGGGTCTGACGATGGTGTTGGAGGGGATCTGGGCAAGCAACTTGAGCGTGTGCTCAAGGCTGAGTTGCCGTTGGATGTACGCACTGTGGCGTTTGTGGCGCGCATGGTGATTGTCGCATGGACTTTGAGTGTGGATAGTGTGGCTTTTGAAGCTGAAAACGGAGAGAGCGAAGATGGGGAGTACAAGATTCCTGATTTCACTGGCTGGGATAGGATCACCATGTCGTAAAGAAAAACCTCATTTGTTGTTGTTTTCTTTATCTCTTTTGTGTTACTACTACTAAGATACCATTCATACCCTATTTTTGCTCCTTTTTCCTTTGGGAAGGCGGGTGGGAATATTGTCACTACAAACATCGGTAGTTAACTGGAATATCATCGCTTCCAAACCTAGAATATACTACTAGGCCCCATCATCATCATCATCATCATCACTACGCCTAGAGCATTCCACATACGTATCAATTTGTCACAGATCTCTCTCCCTCCCCTTTGTCCTCGTATCCAAAATGCCAATCTCTAATTTTCTCTTTTTTTTTCGTCCGCACAATTTGTCCGCCTCTTCACGCTCCTGAAATCTACGCGGGATCTTGATACAGACAAGAAAACAATGACAAGATGGACAAGACTACACACGGGACCCGGATATACAGGTGTCCCGCAAGTTCCGGCTGACCCGGGATTATCAGCAAAGTTTCGGTAAAGAGGGTTGCTGAGGTTTCCGGGGTTCTTGTTCAAGATGTAACAGGACACGAAAGCAAAGAAGAAGAAAAGTCGGGAGATCAATGCGTGATCTCATGTAATATGTAGGTAGTGATATTACGTATTAAACTACATACGGCAATATATTACTAACGTCCATCCCTACGTGCCGGGACGCACGGTGTAACGGGACACTTTTTCTTCTGGACCCTCGGACTATCCGCAACATACTTATATATAGACAATCGCAATGCGCATCTACTCTATAGCTCTTGCTCTCCTAGTACATCGTCCTCCGATACTAAAAAGCGTGTTGTTGGCCGTACTATCGCTCGTTCTATTAATGCTGTCGACTAACTCTCCTCTAACACCCCCTACTCCTCTGCGATAGTATATTTCTGCAAATAGCTTAGTAGGCTAGAAAGGAAGCTAGAATAGCAAGAATTAAGAATATAGTCTTAAAAAGTCGATTTAGAGAAATAAGTGTACATTCTAGTAGTTTCTCCGCATTGATAGCAAGATCGTAAAAACGCATTCTCTAGGACGTGCGCTATTAGTAGCACTTAGCATGTAGACAGCATATAGTAGCGTGCTTAGATATCGCCGTACGCTATTGTAACAAATTAAACCCTATGCATATACTTGTAGTAGTTATCTGGTAAGAATAGCTATAGCGTATGCTTGTAGCTTTCTAGAAGCCTCTACGGCTAGATGCTCAGTCTCGCTATTGCAGCACGACCTTAACCGCCGCCATTTGCGCTGCCTAAAGACGCCGGTACCGTCGCTCTACTAAGAAATAATACCCTAGCACTGTGCTTATATCGGCCGTCCTCCAGCTGATAATCATTTAGGGATTTCTTTCAAGTTAGTGTTACTTCTCCGCGAAGGTTTATCCCTCCAAGGCGGATATTAGATAACTCAGCATTGAACACAACTACGTAGTGGAGGTTTTGCTTATAGTGGCGGGTACTAGAACATCAAAGTAACATATCCTAACTAGTGATCTCCTTTTTTTTAGTACTAATATTGTGATTTGGCTTTTGTCCATAGGTAGCTTCGTATACTTGACTTCTGTCCTGCCAGATAATTGCAAAAAAAGGTCTGCCAGCATCTCCCGCTTTGCATGAAGGTCCAAATGCTTCGAATAACACACCTTGAACGCAACAGATGGAAAGGAAAGAAGAAGAGAAGAGTCCAAGGCCATAGGCTGAATCCTTCTAGCATAACATCACCTAACTATACTGCTAAACACCATTTTCTCAGAACCTGAAGTCATATCGAAAGTTGCTGCCACACCCGACAGAAATGATCCTCCTAGAACATAACCCCAGGATTGAATTCCTGTCCAACAATATCCTGGCATACCATCAACTGCTCCATATGGCGGCGGTAGTAGCAAAGATGAATTTGCGAACGGGATATCTTTTCCGCCGATTCGAACAGCTACAGAGCTAAACGTAGCGTTGCATGGTGCATAGGAACCATTGTTAGTACTGATACTAGGTGGATCGAATGTTTTCAACCATGGGTCCATAGTTGAGAGGGGAAGATATGAGTAACCAGCACCGCAGTCTACAAGATAGGGCCACATGCCATCGTCGAAACTCGCAGGCTCGTCCCACGGGATGAATTGGTCACCAATTTTCATTCCGTCTGGCACAAAATTCCACCAGTAATTGCGTATTGGTGGTTGGAATATCCTGAGCTTAGTACTGGCGGTTACTCCCCCATATTGAACTGAATTTGGTGGCGCAGCCCCTCCTATAATCATCGAGCCAGCAATCTCTCCATCACTCCGGCCCTGGGGCCCAAGTAGAAGTGTGAAAACCGGCTTCTCAATGAGACCATCCTCAAAAGCGCTAAGCATCCATGGATTGTATGGAATTGCATTGTGAGGATTAGGATAGGTAATATTGTCCTTAGTTGGATCTGATCCTGGAAAGACATTGGTGGTATTGGGAAAGCCAAGGCCGATGATTCCATTCCAATTGTGCGCAGCCGAGATTCGATAGGCCAGTTCAACCTTGGCTACTGTCTGTCTTTTCACGGTCAAGCCCCCAACAGTGACTGGTTCATAGCCAGCGGTCCCCACGTACAGCTCACCATCGCCATACGTAATATTGAAGTTTCGATCCGGAATCTGTCCACCGGAATATGTAGGTGGTGTGAACTGAGTGAAATTACATCGTGACTGGGGTATCTCCATCAAATTTTTATCGACACATTTGACGTTCTGCGCCGGTACCCAGAAGTCAGCACTGCCAGTATCGATCCACATCCGAAAGGTTTTTCCGTCAACCTGTACATCGATTCCATAATAAGTCTCAAATTGAATTGATTCTAGAGGCGATATTCCAATGGTGCGCTTAAAAAGCCGCTTGTCTGGACTAGAACCGAGAATAGGCCTACTGGTAGTCTTGAGATCGATTTGGACACCATTAACCGGAATTCCAAGCACTTTGAGCTGCTCTTGAACTTCCAATTGAGCATTAGGGACATCGGCACGCGGACGAAAGTCATCGTCGCCATTTGTTCCAGTAGCTTCTAGTGCGGTGCTGATTGCGTGTGAGGATACCAGTATTAGAGCTGCAACGGTTGTGTGAAGGCTGGTGCGAAGCGCCATCATCTCAACTGTTACGTGGCCGCTGCGTTTTGATAGGATGTGAGATATTGCTATACTAATGAGTGGGTAAACAAATTGAGGCGGAGTGGGACTTTAAGTCTGTTTAGATGAATATGGTTGATCACACCGCTATTTCAAATATTCAGAGACGGCCGGTATCACTAATGAATTGAATCTTACATTCACCTCTACAACGCTACATGGCACAAATTATGCGTGTAAGGGCGCGCTAAAATAAAGATTAGGCTCTTCTTCGGATGACAACCATATTTATTACA